CCCTGATACCGGGGGGAAAAACGCGTCATCTGCAGGAAACGGCGTCTGAGGGCATCTTAATATTCAATAAACTGAATGTTTTATATCCATGTAACGGGAAGAAACTCAGCTAACTGATCTTTTTTTTTTTTTTTAACCCCACAAAGCTAGCGCTGAGCCTATGAATTAGCCACGAGCGAAAAAATGCTAACGCATTACTGCACAGAAACTCACTCATAACACCCTTATTACTTATCGTAGCTGCACGTCCAACCCATCGATTCGCAACGTGAAAAGACACAGAATCGATCAGTACATACATCACCACTCCATGGAGTGGTGATGTATGTACCGATCGATTCTGTCATGTTTCTGTCATGTCGAGTTCTTATCATGATAAGAACTCGCGAAGATATTAACAAGAACAGACATCAAAACATGTGGCGCTCGGTAGCTGAAAACGGCAAAATGGCTCAACTTTGTCGTTGTCTGGTCAAAAGTGATCTTCAATGGCAATAAAACGACAAAAACGCTGCTGAAGTTAATCCATAGGTTAATCCAATGTGTCTGTGTCCCTTTGAAATTATTTCTGATAATCCATAAGCAATAAACCTGCTTTTCCGTTTCCAGATGTCAGAGCGAGAGATAGGTTCGCTCTCATACAAAACTGCATGCGCTTAGCTCTCATTTCTCAATAGTAAGGTGTGTATGTGGAAATTCCCCTTTGATTCTATTGGCTCTAACGGTCAAAAAGAGATGTCAATCACCAAAATCGACCAATGGGTTCCAGAGAAACGGTAAACATGGTTATTTCCACCCAAATCACCTCAGAGGTGGAGTTTTTTTTGCTAAACCTCTCTTAAAAAGGTCACATGTCACTTGCTTTGCATCAATCTTGATACAGGGTACTTATTATATGTTGTACTTTGGATTCCTAAAGCTTTTAGTCTACCTTACCATCATCCAAGGGTAGTTTTCACTAAGTAAAAAATAATTTTTGGACGGACACTATAATTTACAGTTTTATGCTATTATATGTTTAATCTGAATTTTCTTTAAAATAAAAAACATCTATATTGATTCTGACTTTTCTACATCCAACTCACAGGTTTATCATTGCTTTGAGAAAAAAGATTATTAATTTTTCCCTTTTTAGAAGGGAAGATATGGTCATTTGTTCTGGGAATGTCATTTTCGAGCCTGAGACCTGAAAAACAGTCTCAGTGCTTATCGGGTTAAGTGGAGAATCAGCCTTTCTGTTTTTAACCATTTTATGAATTGTCATCATTTAGGGGTGAATATTGGGGAGACACTTGACAAGCGCTACGATGTTTACGGCTACACCGGCCATGGAGTATTCAGCAACGTGATCAGAGCCAGGGACACTGCCAGGGCCGGCCAGGAGGTGGCAGTCAAGATCATCAGAAACAATGAGCTCATGTGAGTCATACCTTTTTTCTATATGACTAAAAACATTTCTTTGAATGTAAAATATATATATATACAAACTTGTTTGGACGTCAGAAATACAATACTCTAAACAACAATAATCCTATGGATGTTGATATAATTACATTTATTTTTTGTTTTGCTTAACAGGCAGAAGACCGGGTTGAAGGAGTTAGAATTCCTCAAGAAGCTGAATGATGCGGATCCTGATGACAAGTTCCACTGCCTCCGCCTCTTCAGGCACTTCTACCACAAGCAGCATCTTTGTCTGGTATTTGAGCCTCTCAGGTACTGAAAAAAGGAACACTTCACCTTTCTTCTCATTATTTGAGATCCATTGCTGTTTTTAGAATGTATGTGTTGCACTCACTTTTTAATTTCCTGTTCTATTCTCCTCTGCAGTATGAATTTGCGAGAGGTGTTGAAAAAATACGGTAAAGATGTCGGGCTCCACATCAAGGCAGTGCGCTCCTACAGCCAGCAGCTTTTCTTGGCCCTCAAGCTGCTCAAACGCTGCAATATACTTCATGCTGACATCAAGCCAGACAATATCCTGGTAGGGTGTAAACCCCATTCTTAAAAAATTGTATTTAAAGAGAAAATTACATTATTTTACGTGTACATTTTCCCCCCTTAAAGGTGAATGAGTCAAAGACCATTTTGAAGCTCTGTGATTTCGGTTCTGCATCACATGTCGCTGACAATGACATCACACCATACCTGGTCAGCAGATTCTACAGAGCTCCAGAAATCAGTGAGTTGCATTATTTTGTACCTCACCATTAATGAGTTCCATTTCGATCTGGACCTAGCTCACAATTATTTGTCTCCATCTCAGTCATAGGAAAGCCGTACGACTATGGGATCGACATGTGGTCTGTTGGCTGCACTTTACATGAGCTTTACACTGGCAAAATCCTGTTTCCTGGATCCTCCAACAACCACATGATCAAACTAGCTATGGACCTCAAAGGCAAGATGCCCAACAAGGTAAAATTATGTCATATGACTTCACTTCCTTCAGTTATTGTTTCAGTTTCCTAGATGAAGTGTGTCGCGTTGCTGTTCCATGCAGTGTTCCAGAAGTTGGCTGATGCAATATCGTGCTTTTCTCTCCTCAGATGATCCGTAAAGGCTTGTTCAAAGACCAGCACTTCGATCAGAATTTAAACTTCCTGTACATTGAAGTAGACAAAGTGACAGAAAGGGTAAGGAGTTTCCTACATCTTTTCCAGCACATTTCCAGCTGATGAAATACCATTTCTATTAGTTATAAAATGTTGTTTCATAAGCTGTTCAGGCCATACATTCAGATTGTGTTAAATATTGAAAATGACTTGACGTCTTTGTCATTTCTCTGCGCTATCAGGAGAAGGTGACGGTGATGAGCACCATCAACCAGACCAAAGACCTGCTGGTTGACATGATAGGACACCAGCGACTGCCCGAGGATCAGAGGAAGAAAGTGATGCTGCTGAAGGACATGCTGGATAGCACCTTAATGCTGGACCCAGCCAAACGCATCAGCATCAACCAGGCCCTGCAGCACCCCTTTATCCAGGAGAAAATCTGACACCTGAACGCCACACAGTCCCAGAGCAGACACAGAACCGACCACTAAAGCCCGCTCTGACAAACTCTGCAGCGAAGCAGCCAACCCACAGACCTTTATTCAGATTGTCATGGCTTTCTGTTCTTCTTCAACTCTATTTTGGTTATGGATACATCATTTTGTTTTATTGTAAATAGATTATTGAAATGGTAGCCATTCTTGAAGACATTGATTTTCGTGATATATCTTTGTAAACTTTTCCCCCGGCAATGCAGTTATGGACTTTTCTTTTTTATTTAACTGGCATTGGAGTGACAGATGTTTAAAAAAATATAATTCCTGTACATACTGTATGTCTATTGCATTAACAATCTCAAGCAGCAGACAGTTGAGTTTTGTCGTAGTTGCAGATGACTAAATACATTGATTCTTTTTTATAACAATTCTCATCGTGAGGCGATGCATGCTTTTGAATGTGCACCCTTTGTGCTCTAGATTTCTGTGGTGCAGGCCCGTAAATGCTCTGTATACAGCATCAGTGTCCCAATTGTGACAGCAACACCTCCCACCCCTAACCAAGTCTTTAGGCCTTGAGGTCTGAGCTGAAGGAATAGATGCATATTATGTACTCCTTGAACAAGAGTTTTCTTTTTTTTGTCAAAGCAGCTAGTTGTTGTTTTTCTGTTGCTGGACATTTCCATGTTTTTTACCTTCCTCCCCTTCCAGCACTCTGGCTAGGCCCTGGCTCTTAAGGCTCTCGCATTCAAGTGCCTCCTGGATGAGCCTAGTGTGTTAAAACACCCAACATACGCTGGCAAATTGAAGCCACACCTGTGACCCTCCTCTCCCACTGTATATAGTCCATAGTTTCTGTCGGTTCATGTGTGATTGATATTTTTTTTTTCATGAAGTAGTGATAAAATCAATCTTGTGATTTCAATAAAGAATAGTTGTGGGAACGCTGCTGACGGAGCACCTTCAGTATAAGACAACTTTTTAGTAATAAAATGTTTCCTATTGTATACAAACCCCCTTTCTTCATTTTATCCCTAATATGTTCCCACATCCTGTTTATCATTAGTGCAATTCATACAGTTGAAAGTGTACTGATTGCTCAACTGGATGTTACCTGTCCAGAAAATGCCTTTTTATCCTTGTAGCTCGGTAAGTGCAGTATTATAAAAAAGCCACTGAGTGAAATGATATTGCTGCAGCCTCAGAGCATCGGCAGTGGAAAGTGTAAAGGTCCCCTTCATTTCCGTCACATGATTGCACTTGAGGTGAGCTGCTAAAAAGCATAATGGGGGACTTTCTTAGAAAAGATTCCCTTTTTCCTCCATCTGAAAAGTTAGGTAATGGTGCAAGAGCTCTTGGCATGCACAAAGCCAATTGAAAGGACTTCTGATATGCGATGATGGGCTATGAGCCTGGGGATACATGTGAGCTGGTAACCACTAGTAGAGATGTCAGTGTAATAAACAGGAATACTGAAACCCACTGGCCTCTAATCTCAGCACAGAGACGAGGTCTTTAAATGTGAATATGTAACCAAATAAGGCATTTATAATCATCAAATGTGTGAGTAAGGGATCAAAACACTGCATAGCTCAGCCCTTACGGTGCAGTTGTAATTTCTTGAAATGATCAGAAGAGGGCATCAGAAGCTCTAGATATTCTCCATCAGTGAAGTCACTGATGGAGAATGATCTTGAAACTTTTATTTGAAATGACAGGTCTATCTTACCAAGTACAAATGTAAAGTATCAACAGACTTAATATGTATTTACTGTCTATTAATTTGCATGGCACGGTTATGTTTGGCGGATTAATTGGTAAATCAGCTTGAATGATAGTGACATACGGAGTGTGTGCAGAAGTAGGTCTTCTGTTTGACATTACGTTACATTACATGTCCTCTGTTGGATTGTCGCCATAAAAAACAAAACCATTTATCAACCCAGTACATTTTATATGTGATTTAAACCAGCACAGGAAGAAGAAAAGAGACTTAAAATATAAGTTATTTTTAATTTCTTTTCTCATTTTTATTAAAACCATACAAACATTTGTAGTCAGTTATAAAAGAGCAAAGTGGCTCTTTTGGTGGAGCCAGATCTGTCTGGCCTCTACCCAGGGCCTGGGAATCCCTGCTTTCAAAGTCAATTCTTTATTGGCCCCAGGATATTTCCCATTTCCTCTGCTAAACCTACAGAAAGAGTATTGTATTTACACATTATATATAAAAGAGCACAACAAAATGTGAAAACTTAAAAAACAAAATCAAAGAAAAGTAGAATGCATTTTGCAAATCTGAACTTTTCTGATAGTCTGACTTTTCATATATAACTGTTCTGTCATTTTATATTTGTTCAGGTCTCACAAGACACTTTACATGTTTAATATTTTTTTATTTTTCACAATGGAAGATTGGCAGTGATCTTTCTCTTGATCGACAGGCAGATACTGTACGTATAAGGCACATATCTCAATGTAATTTCCTTCCCTCAAAGAAAATAATTTCTACTTCTTTGAAGAAGAAAAAACCACTAATGCACAGCTACAAAATGATAAAAGAACAACAAAACAATTTGTACCTCATTGCTTTGACGTTGAATAAAAGGTAAACTACTCCATATTCTGTGTCCAGTCACATAGGGGCAAGGCAACACTAACACTGTTGACAAATTCACTGCAATACTTGATGGCAGTACACATTCTGAATTTAAGAGCTTTGGAGAAAACAATACAGAGGATTTCCTATCAAACAGAACATGTCACTTAACAGCATTTACTGTATCTTTACGAGAGGGAAATTCATGTGCTTTGGACCACTGTTGGTCATGAAGACAGATTAAAAACATGAAATAATCATATCTATTTATGTAAGCATACATAACGCACCAACGGGGACCTTTGATCATAAAGGAGAAAATGTCAGTTTTCATATCAGCTCCAAACAACCGTGCAATCCAACGTCAACATTTGATTTTCACAAACAGAATATAAAAACACTGTTATATACACTTGTGAGTACCTTACCAGACTAACTAAACCAAGCCATGTAGATATCAAGGGGACGACTATCTACAGTACCTTGAAGACTTGAATGTGTTCGTTACCATACTGCAGTTACTCTCCACAAAAACACCACTTGGTAAAACTTGGTAGAAGCACTGAAACATTTACAGATTCACAAAAGTAACAAACAAAATAACAACAAATGTAAATACACCACTTATTAAAAACCTATGATATATGATACAAAGTTATCACCAGGGCCTGCTAAATAATGACCCATTTCTGACCTGCTGTAACCAGAATGGATTGAGCGGCTTTGTTCCTCTGGGATCAGAACTGCAGATACTTGGCACATGGGCTAGTCTATAAACTTATATAGACAGTGTTCATGTTTTACCTTGAATACATGCATCTTTACTGATAGTGTATACAGCAAAACCAGTGACAATAAACCAAATACTGTTTAAAGGACTGAACTTTTTCTCACCATCACATGGAAATACAAAGAGAAGAGCTTCCAAAAATAGCCTACATTCCAGAAAAGGAATATAACTATTTATCTATACATAATTTTGACACATCCCGTTTCTGTGTGGGATGACCTTTTTACAAAATAAATGGGTTTGGCAATTGCCTTTCCCAGAACACTTTAAGTACATATTAAAGTTCTCGTAATTGTCACTTTGGTCTAAATCTTCACATACACCAGAGTTTTTCTCTTCCTTTTTTTACATTTTTCTTAAGGGAGGAGATAGCAAAGAGGGAGAAAGCAGCTACCGCATGATAGCCAGGAACTTGCTCTCCTCAGCCAGTGTGGTGAGCAGAGAGCTCATGTCTCCGATCGCCATGTTGTTCAGGCCGGGGGCCACACTGTGGAAGGTCGCAGATGCTCGAGGCGTGGTCAGGCGTGATGAGGTCCTGGACAGACCCTGGAAGATGGAGGGACTCAACACCCCTGAGACCAGGCTACCCTGGTCATAGCCATCCTCCAGCATGGCACCAAAGTCTAGACTTACGCCCTCATCTAATAAACTGGGCACATTGCCATCCACTGTGCTGGTCACCTGGTCTGCACCAGGGGAGAGCAGGCTTGCCGTGTTCTCGTTGCCAGCACCTTGTCCCACAGACTCAGCTATGGAGTCTAGCAAGCACTGCTCCTCCAGGATAGGGAACGCCTTAACATCTGGTGGTTCGTAAGAGAGGCATTCATCAAAGCCATGCTCTAAGTATCCATGGTCTGGGCCCTCTAGTTTCAGCCCAGATACCTGATGTGCAAGGGAACAGTGGTCCCCACTTTTCTGCAATTGTTGCTGTTCACCACAGTTCTCTGGGTTGAGGTACTGCTGGGTCCGAACTGAATTCCTGTAACCGATCAGTGGGCGAGGGACATGGACCTGTCGATTGTGATGAACAGCAGTTCCCTGGGAGAGGCTGGGGATGTTGTCCATAGAGATCCTGCTAAGGATAAGGTTGTTCCCAATTTGGCAAGAGGTGGTGTGGTTCTGTTGGAAGTGGCTCTGCTTCTGAGGTCCATTGGAGGCCTGCTGTTTGAAGGCCTGCGGAAGAGGCGCGTCTACGATCTGTGAGAAGTTAGGCCTTCCAAAGGTGTTTGTAGAGTTGTGACTAGTACCTCTCATCTGCATGCAGGAGTTAGGTGATGTCTCAAGCTTAACCCCAGGGTTGACACAACAAGCATTTTGAGGCAGATTAGCCTGGGCACAACTGTTCGGGAAATCAAGGGGTGCTTGCTGCTGAACCACCATGTTTCCAAACCTGCCAAAAGGCGCAGATATTGTTCCATGGTCTGTGCCAGACCACCTTCCACACTGTGTTTGGTGGTTTTGTTCTCTCTGAGGAGACCTGTCAACACTGCCAGAGCTCACTTCATTCCACTGGATGGGAAGCTTACTCGGGCTCGTCCGCTCTGCTATCTGCTGGAGACTTTGGGATCCAGGAAAGGCCATATTCAACCCTGATGTCTGGATCAGTTCTACCTCCTCCATAGATGGATGGGAGACGTCCCTTTGGCCAGAAGCTAATTGGTCCTCAATGTGCATATAGGAGCCACCATCCACCTGAGCCTGGGAGTGAAGATACTGCACCAGGTCATCTGGCAGCATATCCTCATCCCCAAGTAACATGCCAGCCTGATCCTCCATGGCCAGTGCTTCTAAAGCTGCGTGTTCTGCGATGCTAGGAGTGTACGGTGAGTGCTGCAGGCCTCTCTGAAGGTTGCCCTCTGATCGCGTGTAGTTCTGTAGACCAAAGCTGCGGGTTTCAGGGGTCGAATGATGGGACAAGGGCGGAAGAGGGTGGAGATTGTTGAGGCTGTTGAAGCGTTGCACTGGTGGCAGATTGCAAACGTCGCGAGCCTGCGTCCGCACTGGGTCGCTGGCCCTCCGGTTCCCATTCAGTGGCCCCTCGCCAGGATAGAGGACTCTCCTCCTATGACCTGCATGTCCCATATACCCATTGGTGTACCCGTTGGTGCCATCACCGCAGCAATGTGGCCTGACTAGTGGCGGTAAAGGATGGTTGCTACCACCATCATCCATCATGGCCATGCGCGTCTTCAAGCTCATGCGCTCCATGTTAGGAAGAGGCGTGGGAGGTGGGCCACCAGTGGCTGCTGCATACTTGGCTTTCAGGTGGTAGTGCTGTGCTGGTGTTAAAGTGAGCATACCCCTTGACCCCGCTACTCCTCCCATACCTACTCCTCCTATACTTCCACAGCCCGCACCTAGGTGCATCCCTCCACCCCCTCCTCCTGTCCCACCTCCATAGTGGCTCGCCTCGCTTGACCGGCGGGAGGCATCAGTGGAGATGGGGTCGTATGAGTCGGTGGAGCTGAGGTTGTGGAGGCGGCGGTGGTGGCCTGCAGCCATCGTACCCTCACTCTGGGAAGCCTGGCTGGAGCGTCGACTGGAGAAGCAGGGGGAGATACCTGAGGAGCGCCGACTGCTGCTCAGGTAGGCCGAACTGGTGGCGCTACCACTGCTGTCACGCCGGTCTCGGAGCAAATTGAGCACTGTTAGCTCTGTGCTGCTCAGCTCAGCATGAGCAGGTGGCTGAGGAGCAGACACCCCCCACTGCCTGCCCAGACAGGATTCTGAGGGAGAAACACAGACAGAGAAAACGGAATGAGTAAAGGTTGGACTGCAGACAAGGATATTGTGTGTTGAAAGGGAGATTACAGGTTATGAGAGATTAAACACCAAATAAGTGCAGATAGATCCCCAGATGTATGCATATAAACAGACAGCATTTGGTCATGAAACACTGTTACATGCTGGTTTCCCTGATATGATGTACGGGTTGATATGGCTCTGATACCATTTCCCAGCAGAACAGTACATTGTAGGCATTAGTTTTGCCTGAATGCTTCAACCGAGATGGGCAAGATGGAAGCCAGGATAAATGTTTTTCTTAAAGCATGATTTGTGGGTAAGAGTCATTTCTGTATACAGGTGCTTTTCAACTGTAAAAATCTCCACTTGAGCTCAATCACGTGTCGAAATAGGGATAATTCATGTTTAATTTCTGAGTGTTATTGACTGTAGTTAAATAGTTTAAGAGCAGTAAGAAAATAAATTGTCATACCCACTTGTACCACAAATTGAAGGATTTTCAAACAAGACAAAACTTTGAAAGAAAGTTGAAAAAGTGAAACTTACCCTTCCCCAGGATGTTGGGTAGTGTGGAACCTTTTGGGGGCGGTGTAGGGGACAGGGTCCCCAGCCTGGGCAGCACTCCGTTCACCTGCTTCAGCCTCTCCATCTTGATGTGCTCCATCCAGCGCACAGGGCGGCCCACACTGCGCCTTGCCTGCAGGGTCAGCATGGCCGCTGTTGCCGTGGAGACTGTGGAGTCCATGATGGGGCTTGGCTCACCCTCACACTCCTCCTCAAAATCATCTTCGTGTTCTTCTCTCCCCTCTTCCTCCTCTAGCCCCTCCCCTGACGAGCGTCCGGCGCTCACAGCAAGCTGGACTCCACTGCTGGGATAGGTGCTGACGGGGGACTGGTCACTGCTGCATGTAGACTGACCGCCAGGGCTTGGCTGAGACGTCTGATACAGGCCAGGGAAGAAGAGAAGATTGAGAGACAGGAGGAAAAGAAAGAGAAAGAGGTAAGTTTATCTCAGGACATGTATACAGTATCAATGTCACACAAAAAGATGAATGTAATCTTTTGACGGATGTATTCCCTATAAAATAGGAAAATGATCCTAAAGAATCACAGACAATTAGGAGAGATGCTATTCACATATGCACTTGCATTATCATTCCAGATTGAGCTGGTTGTCCAACCCTCAGCAACAAGAAGGGGGAAGAAAAGAGGTATTTGGAGGACAATGCTTTGTACATTATTGGGGCATAAGTAATGCCTCCCCCTGTGATCCAGTCAGGACCAACACAGACAAAAAGGAGAAAATCCTGTTTTGGGTTCTTTTCAAAGGATAGGCAAATAGGATAAAGGCCTAATTAGGTTGTTTACTGAATTTTAGGAAGTATGTTACTGAGGAATAATGGAATTACTCTTTTCTGGCATCCAGCTTCAACATTGTTTAGAGGGCATTCGTCCTGTTAGCTGTTGAATGAAGTTGGCTGCCTATCAGAGCCCTGGGCAGTATGGGGCGTACTTTCAGTGCCCACAGAGTTCAGCCCAAAGCATTGGGCATTGCTCAGAAAAATGCGTTGCCTTTGGTAAATAACATTGCCAATCTTCAGAGTGATGTAAAATGAGAAGAATCTGTTTTATATGAATGTGAAGGATGAGGGAGACCAACGTAATCACAATTTGACCATGTTTTGGGTGAAAGTCAAGCAGTTGTGATGGGATGAGAAAAGACGATAAACAGAGCAAAAACCACGATGAGCCACGATGGGAAAAAGTGAGACTCACACAGAATACTTTACAAATGCAATGTGAAGGGGATACCTATCTCACCTGATTACCCACTGTCCTTAGAAAGGGAGGTAGAGAAATGCCATAGCATTGGATAGGAAGAAAAAGTTTACTCATTAGAAGACTTTAGTGTTAAATGTGCATGCCCCCAATCAAATGTTAAGTCACACAGTCACACTCAGTACTAGGCATTCAAATGTCCTATGTTAAAGTGAAGGAATAGGTTAATCAGAAAAGAATTCAAATAGGATAAGATACAGGTTTTTCAGCACAATTAATAAAGAAAGTCTTACCATAGGCTTCTCTGTCTTGATAGACTTGACCTGCAGACATTCATCCTGTTTTGAGGTAGCATGGTTGTACTCCCTTTGGTCCGTGTAACCACCCATTTGCCCTGGCGACCGGCCCTGGCTGTTGCCCCCAGGTGGTGGAGGACGTGGATAATCTCCACGCTGTTTCTTGGTGACGTGCGCCTCCGGTCCGTGCACCGTCTTCACGTGCTTGCGTAAGGAGCTAGGATCCGTGTAGCGTTTGGTGCAGCCTGGGATTTTGCACACATATGGTTTCTAAAAATGAAAGGAGAAAGATGAGCTGTGAGAAACACGTTCATTCAGCAAAGTCAAAGGATCATAACTGGCCTGGATCACGTTTGTCAGTACCTCGTTTGAGTGTGTGCGATTCTGGTGTTTCGCCCGGTCTGAGGCATTGGAAAAGGCCTTGTTGCAGCCTTCGTGTTCACACACATACGGTTTCTCTCCGGTGTGCGAGCGTAAGTGAGTTTTAAGGTTTTCCAGACGGGAGTAGGCCTTGGCACAGCCCTCAAACTGCAGAAAAGAGAAACAAGGGGGCATCACTCATACAGCTTGAATCTTGTGTTATCAGGTAGCTTTTCAGAAAATAACGAAAGGTTTCTTACCGTGCACTTGTGGGGTTTTTCCCCAGTATGCCTGCGCATGTGGACCACCAGCATGTACTGCGCCTTGAAGGGCTTCTGCTCTCGAGAACATTCCTCCCACCGACACACAAACTCCTTCTTCTCCCCATGGATGTGGTCATTGTTGATGTGCTACAAAAGATGGTGAGATGAACTTTAACCAAACATCAATCATTGGATTATTATAAGCTCTATTAAGTGCAATGTCATTTTGCATTGAATTGATTCATTGATTAGCTTGAGGTGTTTTTGCTCTGCAGCAAATATAACATTTCCTTTTCTGTTTTCCATTTCATTTCTCTTAAAACCCTTTTCCATTATTTTCCATCAGTGTTAAAATCAGCACAAACACAGGGGGAAAAGTCAGTCTTGTGAGTCTCAGTGTCCAATCTGAACAGGATTTTCAAATAAAACCCTGTCACTTCACATCACAGTGGGCCCTCGCCCCTCCATGACAAGTGCTGACAGTTGTGCTGCCGTGGCAACTTCCAATCTGAAGGCTTAGGAAGGAGGGAGAGGTGGGAGGGAGGTGAGGAGATATCAAGGGGGAGAAATCAAAAGTTCAGTCAAGGCATCTGAAATGTTAGGGCCAAGCATTATATCTGTGAGCACCACCTTTCTCTTACTCCGTCCCCTCCTCTCTTCCTTTTTTTCAGTTTTTCTTCTTCTCTTCTTACTAACTGTCTCGTAAAACTGGGTAAGTGGTGGACGTTCCACAGGAATGAAGGAGGTGAGGATGGGGGGAAAGTCACGCAGACCCTCTGGGGACAGAGTCAACACTGTGGTAGCCTTTCAGGGAGCAATTTAAACCCAGGGATACAGACACAATATCCTGACCAAAAGAAATGGCATTATTACATTCCTGAGCAGCGGAGAAGAGCCTTTTTACCTTGGGGGTGAAGGGAGAAGGACAGAGGGGGAAAGAAAAAAAAAATGGGGGGGGATAAATAGAGACTTGACTTTGAATGCTCTAAATGTCTGGGGGAAACGTTTTCTTTGAGCACTTACTTGCAGAATTGTTAAGCTATAAAACATGCAGGACCAAAGCAAAATACAGAATCCAGGGTCAGTTCCCCTCTAGGCATGACAAGGCTCTGACAATGGCATCTTTGTTCCTCCTCTGCGCCCTGCCCACTGGCCAGATCATGACCCCACATATAACTATAACCATGACATCCACCAGAAACCGCCCTATTTCCAATCTTTCTTCAAGGCATTTTGACCCTAAGCATGCCACTGCACTCCCTTCCCAGTAATACTGAAGGGGGAGTATCGACAAATGAGTCAGTGCAGCAACAGCAGTGTGCGACAGCAAAAGCAAAGAGTAAAATGACACTAAAATATCCGCAAAGGACCTCCATTATTCTCGCTTGACACTTTTTAATTCTAAAGTGACAAAACAAGACTAATTCCAGGGGAAATGATTGGGGACTGGATGACCACAGACATTAGTGAAGTTTCCCCAAGATTGATCTTCCTCCCCACCTCGGTCCGAGCCTCACAAAACCTTACTCGTCTTCTCTTTTTCTTCCTCTCTGTGAGGGAATCCCTGTGGCAAGCAATCGGTCTGTTGTGAGCAGCATTCAATATCCCCGGGCTGAGAGCGATGGGAGAGCGCCGTGGTGTTGGATCACGTGGGTGGTTGGAACAACACGAGCGCATGCACACACAGATGGATACACACTCGCACTCTGTTTGTACAAATGAAGGAGGTCGCTGACGGGTGTGATGCATGAGGCTCTGAGCTGACAGAGAGGGGGGGACAGACAGCACGGGGAGAGGGGCCGCAGAGAAACCTAATGGCATGATCTAATAGCAATTCTTATTGAATCAATAATCTCCATGCTGAGCAGACAGGCCACGTTGGCCGGCTAAATCGACAAACAGGTGCTGATAGCAGCGGAGAGGCAGGTTATTCATCTTCGCCCTGCCAGCTTATCGGCCAACAACTGTAAAAAACGCAGCCAAGATGGATTTAGGAGGGAGTCGCACGACAGGGAGCGCCGGGGACACGGACACAGGGGACACTGAGGCCGTGTGACGTATGAGAGGCACACACACAGATACACACACACAGGTGCAGGGACTGTTTTATTGGTCCCGGTGCTTGGGTAGAAACATCCAAAAAAACACCAAAACAATTCCCACTTGGATTTTTATGTCTTCAGAAAAAACTAAAAGTATATGGTTTAAAAATGTGTCATTCTATACTATTCTAAAAAACATGCATCCCTACACCTTTAATAATAGACAGAATCCTATCCTTTTTTGTGTGCTATTTCTCAGCATTTGCCCATTTCAGTATCAATCTCCATGACTCCTTATCAAACTCTCTCTGGGACATAGCCCTCATGCATTAGAATGCAAGCGTGCATGAAAAGAGGGCCTGTTTACAAGGCAATTTCACTAAGCTGTGGGACCCGCAACACCGTTTAGCTTTATCAAACAGTGCCTAATAAATCATATGCTCTTTTGTGATGTCAGTTGCTGAAGTGCTTTGTGTAAAGAGAGGGAAAAAAAGAGCATGAAAAAGGCAAAGAAGGGAGGGAAGGAGGAGGGAGGAAGTAAAAGGGGGAGAAATTGAGGGAAGGAGGGAGGATGAGAGTAAGTGAGTGAGCAGGGGGCAGGGAGCTAGAATTGGCATGTGTAATTCAGCACAGTCTTTTCATCTTAGAGTAAGATATTCTTGACAGATAAGGGGCCTAATCCTTCTCCTGATCAAAAAAAATCTGCATTTTGCCAATTAAAAGCCTGCTCCAGCAGCCAGGGGGGGGGCTGCCTTCAGACTGCGCCCACTTTTATCTCGCTTTAACACCGGGGAGGCGCACAGCAGCCGCCTCCACAAGGCTGCACACAGGCAGAGCCCGCTCCCCATCTGAGAACAAGGACATCGCAGCGCCACCTATGTAGATGACCTGGAACAGAATGGTAGACTGTGGAGGGGGGGAGACCTGATGAGCTCTGAGAACACACACATGCAGACCACCATCAGACACCACTCATATAAAGTCTGAAACATCCCCACAAATCTGTATGATAGCAGGCCTACATTGACAGGAGAATCCACTAAAAGAAGAAAAAAAGATCAAGTGTAATTCACCCTAGGTCAAATACATTTTAAAGAGGCAGGATATTCGCATAAATGTTTACATTTAAAAAGAAGCTGAAGAATACTAAATTAAGGTGATTCATCTTGCATAACACCACACTCAGTGTTTGCAAAATCCTTAAGTCTATAGCCACAATTTAGTTTTTACAAAATGCTTCTCCTTACAGAGAAGAATATTGCTTACATATATTTATATATTTATACATGTATTTGTACAAGGGAACTAAAACCGCAAAGCTCTGTTTTAGATTCCTCCATGTCAATATATTAGTAATAATAAAATAGTGTTGGGCAAGGCCATATTAGGACATTATGAAGTGTTGGGTTGGCATCTCCGGCAACTAAACTGAGCCCCACTTCAAGAGAGACATTAAAGAAGCCACCAGGCCTTATCTTTAAAAGTACTCGCTTCAAGCGGTAAAGAGGGGAGGGACAGAAAATGAAAGAGAAAATGTGAGAGGGAGAGGTTCATGCCCAAAAATGGGGAAGCAAAAGAATGTGTAGCTGATGCCGAGAGGGAGATGGAGAGGTATAGAGAGTTGAAATGTAATAAATGAAATAAATACAGCAACCTAAAATTGACACCCGCCTCGCTTTTGCTGACTGGGTAGGCCAGATAAGTGAGCTAAATTGCACAGATCTGATGTTTATCTTATCGGCTGCACCGAGAGCGCTTAAACACAGATGATAAAGGAACGCCGTGGCGTGTCATGTTGAGAGCATGCTTGAGAGTGTAAAAATATGCATGGAGAGCGCAGCAGGAGTGCTTTTGAACAAGGTGGAGAGCAACAAGGGTGGTGGGAAGGCTTAATTCTAAAATTAGGCCAATTTGAATTTAAAAAAATTAGGGATATTTGAATCAGTGCAGCTGGTACTTTAAATACTTTAAAAACATTTAGCACAGCAGTCAAATCTTTAAAAACATTAGATATGTTAAAACTTTGTGCAAACGCTGGTGGTTCCATTAGTTTGATTTTTTTTTATCATGTTTTTTTTCCCCGAAGCCATTTCAGAAGACAAGTACAAGGGGGAAGGGACGCTCCATTGTTTGGTTATATGGAAATCCCCCCACCCCCAAACCCCTCCCAGTGTGTGAGGAGAGACACTGTGGTCCAAATACTGTACTTATCCTATTACTGAGGGGGGTGGGGGTGTGGAGAGATAAGAGCGTTTTTCCCGTCCGCTCTGCTGAATTAGAGGACACGGATTCTGTAGGCGAAGACTTTTATTGGCATCTCTCTGCATATCTGCATGTGCATAGAAAATGAGAAATAAAATGCAATATCAGAAAGTCAAATGGAAAAAAATATATATTCTCAGATGGAGGAAATGGAAAACTAATAAGAATTTTGTAAGTGTCTGTCTACACGGGAATCTGATAATAAGGGCAGCTTGGCAAGGTTAGGCTGGATAGTATTTGTGGAGAGATGAGAGAACATTGTTTTGCTCAGATGGCCACCTGCTGTGACTACAGTAGGGGGAGCACGCTTTTCCTCCATTAAGAAGCCATCCTCCCTTCCTCTCCCACCACCTTAACTCATCCCACCCCCTGAAACAGGGGCAAGAAGTTGTCAAGATTCTCAACCTTTGAGCCGAGCCCTTCAAACACGGGAGGCAGCCCATTCCGCGCTGAGGATATCAATTATAGATAGGGGTTACCACCACGGCTGAGGATTGCAATGTCAAGACGGCAAATAGACAGCTGTGGAGAGCTGAGGATCTTTCTATCAGATGTGTGCTGATGTGTGTTTCACATGTGTGTGCGTGCCTTGTTCACAGCATCATATTGGTTTATTTTCAACTCCAACTTCAGTCTGCCCTGTGAGTGCTTCACAAGCCAAGGGAGAGTTGCAGAGCTAAGTAGAGGGGGTGGCGCGACCCATAATGTCATTAATATTTAGCTTAGCATTGAACCCTCTGGCGCACTGTGATGAGAGGTCATCCATCTCCTGGGCTGTGTGAGAGTTCTGATAACAGGCAGGAAGAAGGCCGGTCCAGTGTTGTACACAAAGCTCACATCCTGACTCTGGGAAGCTTAACCCACCAAATCACTTAGCAGCGTTCAGCTGCGAGATGTGCTCTCCAGCTTCTGAGTCCATTACCACAGTCCCTGGATCCAATCAGGAATCCGGCAGCAGTATCAGTCAATGCCTGCAGCACTGACTCTTTCTGTAGGGTGCTGCTGCACAGACGCACAGGCTGGGGTTGTGGCCTGATAGGAGGCATTGTGCACAAAAGCACAGCTGCAGTACATGTAGCTGAGATCCACTGAGCTTGAGGATAGAAACACTGAAAACTCTCACAGCACAGAGACATTGTAGTTTTTTTATTTTGAGCCATACCGTGAATGCTTCATTTTCATTTGTTAACACCCTGTTATGTTTTCCTGAAAGAAACATTAGTCCCGGAGAACAACTGGGGCTAAGTGAACACTTCTCTGCCCACAGGAAGGGATGGATTATGATACATAATATCTTTTAAACAGCACATTTACATTCTTTTAAATCAGCGCTACTCACTTGTACTAGCTGCTCCTGCGTGTCAAACTCGCGGCAACAGTTCTCCCAGTGGCAGTTTGTCTCATAAACCAGCTCTGGCTCCTGTTTGCTTTCATCCTTGTCCCCTTCCTCTTTCACCAGGGTCATCCCATCCGGATGGTCCTGAGGAAAAAAACAGTTACAATATTTTAGTTCAACGACTAAGCACAGCATTTTGTAAATACTAAAAAAACGACTGGAACTGCCTTCCTCCCCCCAATATCAGTCCATCTAAATTTGTCATGAAAGTATATTTTTTTATGGCCTTTCTGGTTTACATCTTAGGCCCAGCCAAAAATGATTTGGTCACAGGTCTCAGCCACAGTGCCCTTGTTAGTCTGGCCTTGTCTGGCTGCTGTGAAGAAAAGTGTGGAGAGGAAATGTAGCGCTGAAAGCCCCGCTCTGTGTTTGGGGGTTGTTATACGACAGGACTGGGGTAAGTATTTGAGGAATCTAACCCCCTTTTCCTGCTAGAGGTTGCTCTATTAGCCCAGACATATTTCACTGTCACAGTTAGGAGGCTGAGTGGAGCAGAGTCTGCACCCCAGGCTGAATCTGCTGCTGGCTGAATATCAACTCTAATAAGGTTTTTTTGTTCTGCAGCTGCAAACATTAACTGTTATCACATTTCTCTTTCATTTCTCCAGGCACTTAAAATGTTGATTAAACAAAAACTATTTCCTTCTGGTCTCCCAGAGATCAATGAATTGTTTTTGCTTCGGAAACAGCGGCTGATAAGAGCAGAGTGGGAAACACCAAAAAACAGCCAAATGAAGGTAAATAAATAAAAACTGTGGCTGGTAAGCTTGTGTATTGTTGCGGCAGATGACCGATTATTATGTGGGCGTCGTATTGTAGTGGCAAAATCTAAAAATAAAAACTTGGCTGGATGCTAGGATTTACCATCAGAATTGTTTGCCAGAATGTGGATAGCTTTGTCAGATAGCTGAAGAGAATCCTATGGACCCAGTGAGTTCAAATATATGTTTATATTTATGATGGACAATCCTCACCTGTACGCTCAGTGCGCCTGGGCTCGGCATCTCTTCCTCTGGTTTCATTTTGGAGCGTTTGTGGTGCATTGGGTCCCCTGTGCTGCTCACTGCAGATTCACTTGTTGGTTTGATCTGTTAAAATAAGAGATATTTCATCATGTTGAGGTTCCTATGATGTGGATTTGACTATATATATGATTCAATCGCGGTGTTTACTGATATTTCTTATGTTATTCTCTATAGAATAATAAAAAATGCATGTGCTGCTTATAAGTCGATTAATCATTGAGTTAATCAAGCAGAATAAAAACAACTGTGGTTAAACTGTAATGATTTCTGTACACTCAGTCTCAGGCAATAGCTTTTTACTTTGCAGATGAAAAACTATGCAATTGACTGTTTCACATTAGCTCCTATAATCACTGCAATTAAAACAAACTCATGGGCCAATTCAATGAGCCATTCACTGAGCCAATGGATGACCTGAGTTTGGCCCTGGCTTAAATTCACCCTTGGGGGAATTCTTGTTACATGCCAAGCTCACAAGAATAAAAGAACAAACAAGAAGGTCCTGTGTGTTTTTTTCCACAGGCCTCTCAGAGTTGTAGTGTTTCTGTCAGTCTCTGTACACTATCTTCGCTCAAATATATGAGATTCAGCATTGGCCCCGAAGCAATATTCTGTTCATTCAGGAGACGGAAAAGGCAATTTTGGTGTACCTAATTTGAATGAGGCCTCATTTGTGATAACACAACATTCGAGGGATAGGAAGCAGCAGGGAGGACGCTAATAAACATTGAATATTTACTTCAAATGTGGGCCCGCACATAAAGTGAAGGTTGAGGATGGCGAGAAAGAGCCCCTTTGGATCCATCCATCCATGTCAATATTCCCTCTCTATATCCTTGTTCTCTCTCTAGTGATTAATGGAGTCAGCAGTGGGATTCTATGCTAACAAGCCCCTTGTTGTTTGCTGCAGGCACGTTCTGGGCTGTGAGCGGCAGTCTTAAAACAAGAGACAACACAAGTAGGAGGAAACTCCCAGGAGATGGGTGCGTGGAGGGGGGGTCCTGCCTGTACCATGTGAGCTTTTTTCGTTTCACTGAAATGTAGCTGGCATGTGACACCGCTATCTATTACCCGTGATGATGAATCGCACAGGCGCCTGCTGCCGCTCTCACCTGTGAGGAGTCGTTGGAGAGGACTGAGCGCTCGCTCGCGCTGAGACCTGGGGGGGGGATCCCGGGGACGGGCCTCTGGGTGGCGAAGGCCGGCGACGGGTGGATAAGAGGCGGGCTGTGGCCGAAAGCAGAGCCCACGAGCCCTGGCTGACGGCCCATCAGCTGCTGGTGCACGTGCAACGCAACCGGGGATGGAGGGTAGGCGAAGCTTAATGCCGGGCTGAGGGAGCAGAAAGGGAAACAAAACATAAAATAAACTACAACTTCAAAAATGAGGCAATAAGACAGTGAATAAATGGATTGTTCTGGATAGCTTCTTCTCCCTGAGGACAATCTGACAGGAGATGGTGTGGTAATGCTGGAACCAAGGGGCTGCAGGCAGAACCCTGCCAATGAATGTGCTTGTTAACACACAGTGAATTATCATGTGGTCTGTGTAAGGCAGTATGTCATTCTTCCACTGGGCAAAATGATACAGATGATAAACAATCTAGAGTGTGTTGAATAGCCATGTAAATAAAGCCAAATGATTTGCCTCAACCTGAACTAACTTTGTTTATCCTCACAATCCCAGAAGCCACCTCTGGGGTGTGTGTAACCACAGGTGAACCAGCAGATAAACAGAACTGTGTCCGGCCTCCATTCATCCTGAGCCCTGACGCCTCGCTCTCACTGCGGCCCATATGTCTGCTGATCTTATTACGAGCCGAGTGGAAATCAATGGTCCGAGACACATTTGGGGGCCCATCCGCTTGTCATATCACTCATCAGTCTGTTGGCCCTGGCTATTTGGGTCCTGTCACTGGGACAGTGGCTGAGCGCGCAGCATGATTGATCAGCCTCTTCTTACAGATCGCTGATCAATGGCTGTGGGTGGGGCCATGGATCTTTTCTTTCCCCTTCTCTTTTCTTTTCTTTTGCTTCCCCTTGCTGGTACCGGGCCGTGATGTATGTGAGGTTTCCATGAGGTATACCTGATGACTGACACCAGCCGCCGGGGAGGCAGGCTGACTGGCTGGCTGGGAGATCGTCACCCACATGGGGCATTGACATGGACGATAGGCTACACACACTTTAATTCACTCCACCACACACTTTCTTTCTCATTTCTAATATTGTGTTGCCTGTGTGCTGCATGAAAAATACAAATCAATGATATTAGAAAACCATCTACACCACTACCCCGGGGAGGTGCTGCTGTCTGATCTATCATTGGCACATTTTGGTCCCCAAATGACCACCTTGAGAGAAGCACAGTCAATAAAAGCTCCTGAAAGACATCCTGACAGGATAAGTTGTTTGTTTCTAACTTTAAAGGGCTAATCTAGGCATTTTGTATTAACTCCTATAACATATGGGGACTAATAATAGAATATTAAGAATCAGTACAACAAAAAGATGCCGTTTTAGCCTGGCTTGTTTGCGATATGCTAAAATACCCTGAGTTTTATTCAATAGTGTGCGTCAAGCTCTGGCATCACTAGATCCTACATTTCCCATAATGCAAATTGATTGTGTGTTTCATTACATCCCCCAAGCTCTTACACTTTAAGTTTGTAATACAGGCTTTCTGTCAAAGTTGTTATGTCTAAAGCACAATCTGAAATAAATAATAACCAAAAAGGATATAAGAAATGAATAATTGACACAGGACAATTTTTCTTTCAGCTACCTGATGGCTCCCGCAGAGAGGTGACCGTAGGAGCCGCTGGTGGAAGAGCTGGAGCGGGAGTTGTTGAGCATGGTGACGAGAGAGTTGGGGGAGTGGCGGATCCTCGTCTGCAGGTCGAAGCTGTGCTCAGAGAGGGGGGAGATGGGCAGGGGGCGCTTCCTGTTTGGCCGCGTTGGCAGCCTCGGGCTCGGGAATCGAGAATCTGCAGAGAGGAGGAGATCTGAGTAAGGTAAAGGAAAAAAAATACAAGGTTAAATTGAACTTTACAACTGTGCTCCTTCATTCAAAGTTTCTCTGAGGAGCGTCAGATAAATTCATTGGTAACAATCCCAAAAACATTAGTTTGCTGCTTTATACGTTTGACTTAATCCTAACCTAATCTAACCCTAACAGATGACATTTTTGTCAATCATCACACAAAAGGATCATCTGAATGAGTGTTCAGCTGTCACTTGATGCACTGCTTGCATTTCATCCATGAGAAAACATGTCTTTTATGTTGGAGAAATGCTCCGACTGTGTATGGTAATATTTAATCAAGTCCAATTTGACTCGTTATTCAAATGAAATCAATGTTGACTAGAAATACTAAAAAGGGGTTTTGAAAAGGTAAAAGGCGGAAACAGCGCAACCATTCTCTCTGCACATACAATGAGCCACGGGTAGAGATTAAAACATGACTTTTGTTGTCTTTTCACATGGAGATGTCACAAACAAGACAGGGAAAAACAGAGGGAGATGGAAGGAGGGGGGGGAAAGCACTGAGGGGATGTCGTGCTTTGTGCATGAACTGACACAATGACTTTGTGACTCAAGACTTGGAAATAAAACATTTTGAGTTATTTTATAAAAGGCAAACAAAACCAGCTTACGCAGCCCCTATAACCCCCCTCCATATGTACGTCCCCCACAATCCATCCATCTCCCAAACGTAAATGCTCCATCTCTGGTTTGACACATCCCACGATTACAGAGTGCTCCATTCACATGGTAATCAGAGTGTGTGGATGTGTGTGTGTGCGTGCCTCTGTGGTGGCGGCGGTGCTGTTCTGGCATACATAGGCCTGAGTTTCGACTACCGCATGAAGCTGTATGGAGAGCACGCCTCCTTTACATTGTCATTGTATGGAAAATCTCTTTTTATGTCTTAGTGAAGGGGGTGTTGTACAGGATGCATATGTGTACACATGAAAATCCCTGAGTGCTCACAATTGATAATACAATGTTAGTCATGTGACGCTGCACGACATGTCTGATTTTACACAGTTTAATTCAGCTTGAACAAAATAGATAGTCCTGCAAAAATATAATTTTGACTAAACTTGACATTTTTTAAACAAGCCAAATAAAGTGAATTATCCTTATTTCCTACAAGTGAGAGAGCCGAAAAAGCAGGTCCACCATCCCACCACTGCAAGGCCTCATGGGAGTGGTGTTTATTAATGCACAGCCCAAATGATAAATCGGCCAACCGGGGAGACGGAGAGGGGAGTGTCCCGGCTCGTAGCAGGACTGTCCCTCTAATTTCCTCGTGATTTATGGACGGGATGGCTGGTTACGGGCTGCGTCATTAATTCTTGTGGCCAGGGAGGGTTCAGACACGCCGGACTGACAGCGTTGGAAATAAAAGCTGGCTCCAAAACTGGGGTTGAGCCCTCGCCGACACACTTTGGGGCCACCTGAGAGGGACACTATCACAGGGGAGGGCTGAAGTGAAGGGTGGATTTAAGACCGGACGGAATTTCTTCATGCGGAACATTTACTATAGGAGGCGAACAATCATTCCTGTGAAATTAATATGACAGTAATCCTATTTATTTACTTAAAGCTAATTTCAAATATAAAGATTATGTGTCACTTTTTCTTTATGGAAGTACATTTTGCTAAACAGATACAATTAGTCTTGGCAGGAGTGTAATCAACAATTAAGTGGTTTGTTTGTATCAAACAAAACATTCAGTGTTTAAAATGTTACTAAGAATGAACCTATTAATGAAAAAAACAGTGGATAAATAGCAAGGAAATTAAAATGAACTAATGAAAACCAGGAATAAAGACTTTGGTATTGTGATCTATGCGAGCTATGGCACTAATTAGGCAGCAGGAACAGAGACAATAGCCCATTAAAGCACAAATAGGCAGGACAGGCCCATTGTTTCATTAGCACCACTCTCTCTGACGGTAATTACACTGATGTGAAATAGACTAAAATAGCCGCAGTAACGTGGTAGCCCAGATTATCAGCGAAAGCCTCTTGATAGACTCTTTTCTTTGTATGTTTTTTTTTCTGAAATCCAACAAAGCTTTAAAGTGTTAATTTTTCCTCCGTTGGAACACACATTGTTGAAACATGATGAGTTATTACCAGCAATGATCACAGGCGTTTTTTTAAGTGAGGAGCATCGCATCTCCACTTAAATTGTGGCCCTAATTGTTTTGTTTCAGTCTATTAATCTTAAAAAGTGACACAGAAGAAAGGATTTCTCCAGTGATGAATGGCGGGACATTCCAATTCCCACTTAATAGCAATTAATTTTCTGATACCCGCACAAGTTTGGCTAGTTTTAATTAGTTTGTTCTGAGGAATGGGGGAACTTCACCCCGGATTTCCATGAAAGCGACGTCTGCCTGACTAAATACATTCTCATCAAAGGGAGAGGGGTGAGGCTGCCTGACCTTTCTAAGATTCAGTGTGCGTTTAATTTCCTATTTACACTTTAAAATAACTCATTAGCATAAGTCCTCTCCACACAGTCCTGAGCCCAGCACATTAAGACAATGGCTCATTTAAATCATGTCAAAGTCAAGTTGCCGGTCCCTCCTCGCTGTGGTTGAGCTGTAGCTTGATCTATAAATACCACAAAGAAGGTGTATCTTAAAGGTGCATTTCAGAAGTTGAATTCCCACTGGGGCCCCCCCTACTATAATGTTCTGTTATGAACTAAATAATTAAAGGTGTTATCTCAGGAGACATGTCTTTTTACCCGGGCCAAATCTGGTTCAACCATTTTTTAGATGTCTCAGTTAGCTCAAGCTGCTGTTTAAACATTATTTAAATAAACCCCTTATAATGTGTACATACATTCCAGTGATTAAGATAGTGTTACATTTAGTGTTATTTAAAACCACAACACCTACAAATTGATCTGCATATTATTTCTTTATGGAATAAAGAATGAAACAATTACAGATAGCTGCCTGTTACACACACCTCTGTATGTTCTCTCTCCTCTCCTCTTTGCTCCTTTTTGCACAGGTGTTCCTGATCTGTCCTGATTTGCACTCAGCCCTTTATTTCCTCAGGTGCTCCTCATCTGCCTTGATTACAAAGTAATGAGGAAGGCTGGGGGGGAAGTAGGATTTATGGAATATTGTTGAGAACAGTGGTCCTGGATCAGCTCAGCCTGATAAATGGACATTAAAGGTCCCCTATTATACTGTTTTACTTCAATATATTGTTGGTCTCAGATATATAAAAGTGTTTGGCTCGAAATACCAAACAGATCATGCATTGTAGCATGTCATAAACCCCTCTGTTTCAGCCCTGTTTTAAAAGTGCTGATTCTCTGTCAGTGACTTTAGATGAAGATAAGGAGCCCCTCCCCACGCCCCTCTGAGAGATATTTGGTTAAAAAGAACACAATGGTGCTCTAGGAGGAGATTCAGGTGATAAGGTGGGGGGGGGGTTACCTTGGTTGGTTATTGGCTAATGGTTACACAAGCCAAAAAATCGTTATGACATCATTAAGTAGCCGAAATCTGATCAGCTCATTTTCAGACAGGTTTTTATATAAATGGATCAGGACAAAAAGTTTGCAAATGTTTTTTCCTGAAACTTTCAGAAGCTCTCAACACAGAGGGGGGACATGTTTATGTATAAAAGACATGAACAAGTGGATTTTGCATAATAGGTGACCTTTAACTTTTCTACTAGCCATGAACAATGATTGCTGACTTACTTTCCACTGCCTGCAGGTACTCCATGTGCAGGGCGCTGGCGCTGGTGACGCCCGCTGTGGACGCCACCGAGGGGAGCAGGTCGGTGGCGTAAGGACTGCGGTGGCCGGCGAGCAGGGCCATCTGGTGGTAGTACTCTGCTGTGGTCATGCCTGTGTGAGGGGCTGGAGCAGGAAAACAATCGGGTCAGAGAGGAGGAAAACAAGGTAGGAGACAGAGGTATGTGAAGAAAATATGGAGGAAAATGAATGAGGCATTGATAAAAACACGACAAGGAGAGCACCTGCGCCGCATTACAAACCTGAGTTCATTTACATGAGATGATAATCAGCTCAGCAAAACAGTAATGAGTACATTAGCAAACAGCATCAAGTTAAGCAAAACAGCTGCACAGGGAGCATCACCTGAAGTGGAGAGCCTCACTAGGGACCAGTGGATGCTTGCTCAGAGATTACAGTGAGTGTGCATTAGTGTTTGATTGATGCAGAGCACAGTATAACCGATCGTCTTACAATACAATTCTTAAACAGCCTTCTTCTTTCTGTTCCTTGATCACTTGGAGAGAGTGTGTGTGTGTGTGTGTGTGTGTGTGTGTGTGTGTGTGTGTGTGTGTGTGTGTGTGTGTGTGTGTGTGTGTGTGTGTGTGTGTGTGTGTGTGTGTGTGTGTGTGTGTGTGTGTGTGTGTGTGTGTGTGTGTGCGCGCAACACATTCTCACTCCCATCCCGTCACATATTGACGGACGGTCAGGGCCCCTCCCCGTCGCTATATTACGTACAGCGGACCCCTTGACCGTCAGGCTTCTACGGGCAGGGCGTCCCATAGACCTTCATTGCGGACTACGGACCCCTTGACCGTCAGGGCGTCCCATAGACCTTCATTGCGGACTACGGACCCCTTGACCGTCGGGCTTCTACGGGCAGGGCGTCCCATAGACCTTCATAGACCACGTGATCGACAACAATGGCCGACCTTCGTGTTATTCTCGGTGGAAAATGCCTATTTTAAGGTTCATTTGGCCATTAAAATGCGTTTTGATGTCATTTTATGCGAGTAATGAGTTTTTATTTCTGATAATTTGTGCAGTACATGTACATGATGTTTAGTTTGCTAGTTATGACAATTATCCTTGCTTTTATTTATTGGTTTAATTCCATAATCTCGGGCTTTTTTGGCGTTCGTCAGGAACTGAATTTCAAAAATAAAAATAACCGGAAACAGACGTAGGCCTATAAGGGACATTTCGAGCATAATTTCGATTGTCAACATTTTTGAGTTTAGGATTCCCGAAGACACTACACTACCCATAATTCCCAGCTATCGTTTAGGACAGTGCTTCTCAAAGTGTGGTCCGCGGACCACTGGCGGTCCGTGAGCGCCCCCTAGTGGTCCGTGAGTATATTGGTAAAATGTCACATTTAAAAGAAATACATTTATTTAAGTTTTTCGCACTCTCGCGGGAATATCTCCGCAATGGAATGAGCTTAAGTTTCACTTTTGATTGCATGAAATAGCCCAGATAAACACCTTCATCACACATTTTGCCACTTGTTTGTACCATTTTCAGGCGATTTGTAAAAAACGATGTGTTTTTGGATATTTGTGGAGTTAGGTGGTCCGCGAGTGTTTTTTTATTGGTTAGGTGGTCCTTGGTATGAAAAAGTTTGAGAAACACTGGTTTAGGACTACAGTCCCCGTGATTAATCTTCAAGGTCTGGGATTGGATGTTGGAGTGGCAGTGCGCCAAGGTTACGCTGAGCGTCAAACAGCTGTTTGAAATGGAACGAAACCACGCCAGACTATCCAAAACTGGAATCGAACGCCCCCCAGAACAACACACTACACTATTGTGTTTCACAAAATGTTCTATGGGACGTCTCTACTGAACGTTTTCGTTTTTCCCACAATTAGAAGTTGCCAGTATTAAACACATTGGTGTTATCAAATGTAAAACATATAATTAATAAATGGGTGAAAATCCCTGTCCATAATGCGCAGCATTAATATATAGCATTAATATATACCCACATGACAGCTCATTGATACTTTGTAATTCTACTCCACTACCATTCAGAGGTTAACCTGGTATTTTTACTCCACTACACTTATTTGAGTTACTTTGCAGATTCTGATTAATGATGTGAAATATAAACAACCCTTAAATCAGACTTTAGTTACACCTGAGTAAAATTCAGGTAAGGTGATTGTCAAATGCCAACAATCAGGAGAGATATTTGATAGTTGGTGCTTGAGAAGACTAAACATGTATCTGCAATTGACATGAATGGAAACGAGTAATAAAGTATATTCATTACTCGTTATTCTCTACTAATAGTTAATTAAAGACTGCATATTATGGCTATTTTGCACATCCCTTTCAAGATTTCAAGATTTTCAAAGGTTTATTGACATATCATATACACAACTACGGTGTAGTTATGCAATGAATGAAACACTTGGGTCACAGGTTCCTCAACAGTGCATTACAAGACATCTATCAATATGTGTGTACCTCCACCATTAAACTGTCATATTCTGCACATTTCTTATTCTATCTACATACATAAGAGTATAATTCATATGTATAATATCAGTTAAAATAAGTGCTTCAACATAGTTAACATTGCAGGAAAGCAATATATTAGACGTTAAGTACTTTGTCAGGCTTAATATTTATCTGTAGATAGATACCCCAAAGTTTTTTTCTTATTTAAAAGAAGACCTTAATCTGTTATTTAATGTTTAAATAAAGGTTAATTCGTTTTTCTGTTTTGCACCTCCTCCTATTAATATCTTTGTACATCCTGCACTAAACTGTTTTATTGTAGAGATCACTTATAGTATCTTCTTGATTTTTTATATTCTATATTTATATCACAGACCTTCTACTTTCCCCCTATGAAAGTATGTACTCTTAATATTTATATTAATCAAATATAACACATAAAAACAATAATTCAATAACGTGCTTTAACCACTAGGCGGTGCACACAAGGTCCACACAGCCATAATAACTTTGTATTATTAGTGTTGGACACTTGTATGTACAACATCTGAAGATGTGTAGTTTTATTCATGCTTTCACATAATTTTACAGCATATTGATATACTATTTCAGACTCAGTATTTACATTCTACATTCAAAATTCAATCCAATTCAAATCAGTAGTATCTTTAAAAACTACAAGTCCTTTTATATATCAGCTGTGCACCGTTATGGTGTAAATATAACCTATCTATGAATTATATCAAATGTAAAAGTCAGCCGAATTAGTGTTGATACTGCAAGGAGACGTATTGTGTGAAGAGAAATTGAAGATGTTGTTTAATTGTTGAAATATTTATGATCCACGTCAAGTATTCAGTTTCGGCGGCATTTCTTCAGTTTTTCCAAAGGTCTTCTCATCAGGGCTCTATAAATAAAGAACTACGGCAGATCTGTAATATACAATGCAGCCGAACCGTGTATTACAATGCCGTTATGTGATGACTTTCAAAGAGAAAAGCAAGAGCACTCGGAATTAAGTATTATTTTATTCTTTTCAAATGTTTTCCGGATTTCATATAATATAAACCCCAAATCCAAGCATGCATTGCGGCTAAAACATCCAATCATCGTAGCTGAGGATCTTGGGTAATCGCTCGAAATGCCTACGTCTGTTTCCGGTTATTTTTATTTTGAAATTCAGTTCCTGACGAACGCCAAAAAAGCCCAAGATTATGGAATTAAACCAATATATAAAAGCAAGGATAAATGTGTGTTATTGGTGAGTAAATAACAGTGTGCTATTTTGAAAATAATAACAAATTAGAAGGACATTTTTTTTTTTTAAATACGAGGCTCTGAGCCCCATTTATTTTCCTCACAGACGGCAACACTAAAGGTCTAAAATAAAGACCTACATTAATATTTGGGATGTTTTTGCCTTTAGATTCTCCCAATAAGTCCAAGTACAGAGGGTGACTTTGTGAAAAAACACATTTCCACCAAAAAAACGTTAGCAACCATGAAGAACACATTCATGAAGTAATCTTCGTCATAACTAGCAAACTAAACATCATGTACATGTACTGCACAAATAATCAGAAATAAAAACTCATTACTCGCATAAAATGACATCAAAACGCATTTTAATGGCCAAATGAACCTTAAAATAGGCATTTTCCACCGAGAATAACACGAAGGTCGGCCATTGTTGTTGATCACGTGGTCTGGGAGCTGTTGCAGCGTCCATAGCAACCATCTTAGCAACCATGCATGTGTACACATTCATGAAGTAATCTTCGTCATAAATAGCAAACTAAACATCATGTACATGTACTGCACAAATAATCAGAAATAACAACTCATATTAAAAGCATAAAATGACATCAAAACGCATTTTATTGGCCAAATGAACCTTAAAATAGGCCTTTTCCACCGAGAATAACACGAAGGTCGGCCATTGTTGTTGATCACGTGGTCTATGAAGGTCTATGAGACGCCCTGCCAGTAGAACCCTGACGGTCAAGGGGTCCGCTGTACGTAATATAGCGACGGGGAGGGGCCCTGACCGTCCGTCAATATGTGACGGGATGGGAGTGAGAATGTGTGTGTGTGTGTGTGTGTGTGTGTGTGTGTGTGTGTGTGTGTGTGTGTGTGTGTGTGTGTGTGTGTGTGTGTGTGTGTGTGTGTGTGTGTGTGTGTGTGTGTGTGTGTGTGTGTGTGGTGTGTGTGTGTGTGTGTGTGTGTGTGTGTGTGTGTGTGGTAAGAGTATGTGGGCTGACACATCTTTTGCCAGCGATGGTGCTCGTGTGTTGTTCACATCAGGGCTGCAGCGTGCAGATATGCAACCTGCTCCTCCACTGTGCTCCCTTAAACTCTATAGAGAAAAACAAAAGGCCTAAATCTGCCCGCACGTATCTGCATGCATAAAGATGCGGCAAACGATTCTGCCTCCACTTCTCTCTTCTCCTCAAAATGCCTCTATTTTCCAAGTCAGTCCCTTAGTTATAGAGTGCTGTAAGTCCTTGAACCGTAGCCTAAAAATAAACATCTGGTGGTGGGCTTCCTTATGCAAATACTCTAAGAAAGAGAGAAGGGAAAGACTAACACTGTGGTTTTGGATGCAAATATAGAATCAGTTCAGACCCACAGAGTGCTTCAGCTCTTCTTTCCCCCCCAACTCAAGACATAAAGAGAAAATAAATAAAGAAACGCTGCATGAGGAGATTTCCTCTTAAGGCTGGCCTGTATGCCGGCAATATGCATCCATGATTGGTTGAATGGATGTAAGAAAGAAATCTAAATTAATTCGATCTGGGTATTATGTCTTCAGTGGAAGGGGGGAGTCTTTTAATTGTCTCTGCTGTTCCGCCTTAGCTTTGCTTTTGCATTCAACCATAATATGGCCCATTCAGTATCCAACATGCACAGAAAAGGGCTTTGCAGAATTTCTAAATCAGAAATGTTGGCATCCGAGATCGATCCTGGGGGCAAAAAGGGGGGGTGGGGGCAGGCTGTCGGTGTGGCACTCAGGCAGAGATGTGCCTCAAGACTGGGTGAGCCACCGGGTTCTCCTTCAGCATTACAATAGGATCAGGGGCAATACCTCTGAACCCCATCTCTCACATAGAAAAGAGGGAAGTATTGTGAAGGAGGAGCAGAATAAAAAGAAAGCAAATGTGTGGCAGCAAAAGAGTGGCACTAAATCCCACCCACTTTAAATCTCCATTAGACTCTGTTAATTAATTCATCATTATTCAAATGTTCATTTTTGCGGGGTAAAAAATGCATAGTGAAGAAGCAGGCTCTCGTAAGCGTGGTGATATACTAACAACACAAAAGCTGATGGGTTAATTAATCAGCGGGTTGATTAAAGGAGTAATTAGGTGCCTCATTCACAATTCACAGCGGAAAGAGGATCATGGTAGGTTGGAGAAACCATTTTTGATTGAAGCTAAGACTGGTGCACATTATATTGCGGTAATGGAAGATTGGAGGTTAGAGAGTTTGAGCTTAAGTCTATATTTCCTGATTGTTAGAGTGCAGGAGAGGGGATGAGTGAGACTCTTGGTGTTCACTTAGAGACAGCCTTTAAACAGACCTGGATGAGAGGAAGTGGAGTGTGCTGGTGTAGAGGAAGTGCCCCGCTATCTGCCGTTTCAGAAATACACTTTAACACAAGGTGGGGAACTAAAGTGGGGCTCTGCTGCTGAAGTGTGGAAGGGTTGATGGCTATAGACATGAGGGCCACAATCAGGCCATTTCAAGACCTTTAAGGTGAATGTAGATGTTTGGCAAAAAATCTCTCAAATACAAATAGTTTTTATTGTGGTTTCTTACATAATCCAAGATTCATATTTTTTTTCATTCGTGATTATTTTTGTCTGTTTTTGCAACTAACCACTAAATTATTCATTCTTGAATATGCTCTAAGAAATAAGAAAATGCCGCTCAGAGTTCAATTTGATGTCTTAATATCATTAGTTTTTGTCTCACCAGCAGTCCATTATTTTAAAGGAAAAAAATACAATAAAAATAAGCAAATCCTTACATTAGCAAAACTGGAAATATGTGGGATTTCTTAAAATATTATAAAAATATAATTTAACCAGTTCCTCTTATTTAAGCTCTACTAAATACTAAATTCATAGCATTTAGATTCCTAACAGCAAGTTGCTAGCACACAATTAAGTGAGTTTAAGTTTTTCCCTTTTTAACAGTTTTAATATCTTATTTTCCATCAGTTTTTTTTTTTTATAAAGCCCCTGGTTGTGTTGTCTGCTTTAATTGAAGTTCCCTGTCCAAATCCCTCTTGAGATCTCAGGAAACAAGCGCTCCCTGTAGGACACCATAACACAACGCCCCCCAACCCTGAGCTTGAATCCCCCCCTCCCTCGGTGTGAGCGTTGTAACTGTACGTGACCCTGCCGCTCACTGATGCATCCTCCAGAGGTTCTCTGACATGACTCACAGATCAAAAGGATTAGCCTCCCTCCAACCTGCACCCCCACCCACAAGGATGGAGCCACCCTCATATGAGTTCCAGCCACCTCCTCCCTCACTCAGATAACATTGCACCAACCCCTGGGTCTTAATAGAGATGGATCTAGTTGCCTCTCACCTGACCTCTTCTGATCTCAAACAGGAATTAAACTGATACAGAGAATCGAGATTCCCACTAAAAGCAATCAAACGGCACCAATCAATTTCAACAATCATTTTTAAAGGTCTACTGAGGCTTTGATGCGTATTTCTGCTGTGCTGAGGTTGTGTGCAGTTGTGCATGTGAGTGCATAGGCATCAAGCTTTGTGTGTCGGTGTGTGTTTCACTTTATTCACCATCTGCAGGGCTGAGGCCCCGGGTGGCTGACAGGACGGAGATGGAAGGGCTGCTGTGGAGCGAGCGGATGTAGTCCATGTATGGGTTGATGTAGGGGTGCGGAGGGTGAAAGGGCGACTCCGCCCCCACGGAGGGGTTCCGCTGGGGCGAGATCCGGATGAGGGAGATGTCAGAGAAAGCCGGACTGCCCGCCATCCCAGGAGGCCTGCGGAGACACAAGGGAAAGAAAATATATTTAAAGAACATGGATACATAATGTGCAACCAACTCAAAATATAACTTACAGCAGTAAATGTGTGTGATTGCTGTGAACAATCATTCTGACTGCAGTTCAAGTGAAATATTATTGAAACGTATTAAGTCACCACATGTGGAATAATAAGATATTTTGATTTGATTAGGTTCTAATGTTGCCAACATTGTGTAAAATTAACATCAATAATCCAGTCGACTCCACAATTTCAACATCATGCTCATTTTATTAGTCTCAGACAATGTAGATTGTATTGCCGTGGGTGGACTGGCAGTGGCGAGGCCAGACAAATGGACTGTGACACTATCTCTCTCCCTCCATCTGCGAGGCAGAGAGGAGAGCGCTGCATTCCAACTGCTCCCTACGCAGACATTTCCTCAGATCAAAGGCAGCTTTCACCACTGTGTCTTAATCAGAGGGAAACGTTAGACCGAGCTCACCGCTGGCCAGCGCCAGACAAGCAACGCTACACCACTTTACTCAGATGGCTTCAAACTTGGCTTTGAGCAGAAACCGTGTACAGAATTGCACATGACGGATACAATGTTGAACAAAATCCATCAGCATGTCTCACACAAGATGCACAATCTTACTTCTTTAAATAGAAAATATGATCAGGCTATTCTGTTTCTAATCAAAAACCTTTACTGTGAAATGTCTCTATGATATGAGATGTGAAATAAAGTTGAGAACAATCAAGAAAACTTCATAGGAGCCAAGTTTGAGATGAACTAATTTGTCTCCCTTCTTATAATTGGCTAGGAGGGCAAGGAAACTTCATAATGATGGCTTTCGCCACAAAGGCCTTCCCCTGAGGATGTGGAGAAATCCAGATATCAGCCAGACATTAACAGGCTAAGAGATTAGACTGAATTAGCCCCTCCACTTCTCTGTGGCTCCCCAGTGGACCAGTCTACTGTGACAAAAGACCCCAGGAGAAGGAGAGGATGAGCGAAGGAGGGAGGCCGAGAAAAAGTGCGGGTTTAAGAAGGAGGTGAGGAGAGATGGAAAAGGGTGGGAAAAGACGGGAGAAAAAGTGAGAGACCTGGCCCAGAGTTTGTCTCGCTGTGACCTTGAGCGAGGCCAGGGGAGTGGAACAGCGCAATTACGACCTCCGCCCCGTCCCCTGATCCCCTACAGGCCCCTCCGGCCCTTTACTCCGCAGCCCCCCTAATGAAGGAGCTCAGGCCAGGGCAAATAATGAGTACTGAGGAGCGGAAACAACACACACACACAAACTGGAGGACAGACAGATGTGTGCACAGGCATCCATTCACACGTAAAGACTTTGTCGCTGGCAACCTTTCTATAATGAGCCCCAAGGTGCTGTGGGACAATTTATTTTTACAAGTGTGTGTGACAACATGTCTCAGTAAGGCTGAACACAGGTGAACGTGGAAAAAGACTCTCACTCTCACAAGGGGAAGTCTCAGTGAAAGCCTCATTGTTAAAGTGTGCAAAGGTGAGTGATCGTATCTGACACTGCAAAACAATGGCCATGGAATGTTTTCTTTTTTAACCTCCATTTCTTTTCTGCACGTCTCCTGTCAAGAAGATTCATGAGGAATTGTTTTACTTCCTCCATACCTAGCGGGTCATGCTGAGGGCAACGGTGCACCTCAAAACAGGTGTGTGAGTGTGTTTATGATAAGCAAGTTATGTGCCCACACGCCACCATTACATGCCTCATTTATACAGTTCAACAACACAGCTGCAGTGACGCTCACTTTGATGTGGTTGACCATGCATCTCAAACACACATGTACACACTCAGAGCAGTTGAGGAAAATCACACACAGAAAACCTTTGTCATTGATTTCAGAAACAACCTTTACATGGAATGATACATTTTCAGATTCTGCACTTGACACTTTTAAATACAAGTCAGTAGAATACATTTAAAATCCTTAAAATAACAGATGTACAGGGGTTCATTTAATGGCGAAATATATGGGAAAAACATTTCTGTATATCTGAAATGGCTGCATATTACAGTTCAGACTTCTGCAATGTAGGAATAAGTCCCCAGAAGGGAAGGTAGAAAGGATTCATTACTTTTTTTTCTCTCCTGGCCCAACACACCCCTGTATGAGGAAATCCAGACACCCACTCTGGCTGCAATGACACTGATTAACCCTGTCATACGTTGGCTGCATCTCCCTACACTAACCATGGCTAAATGCCTCTACTTGGCTTGTTTTTCCAATTAACTTAGCAAATAAGAACAGAGCCCTACTGGAAGGTCATTGGGAAAAAAACGAGGTGATCAGAAAACAAAAGGAAAGAGAGCACACGTGTTGGTTGGAGGGAAGACGGTGGCACAGAGGAAGAGGGATATTTCAGCCTGTTGAAAAGGAAAAGCAAAAGTGTGGAAAGACTTTTGAGCACAAACAGTAGTAGGGTGGAGGAGAAGGAGGGAGTGTGTGAAGATATGGACTACGAATTGGGAAGTAAAGGCGGACAGAAAAGACTTAGGAGAAAGGGGGAGATGGAGAAGGAGGAGAGAGAAAGAGGTCTCCAGGGGGGCAGAGGGGATTTGAGGAGGACAGCAGAGAGATGGATGGGTTGGAGGAGTGCGGCGGGCCTCTGTTCTTGTGAGAGGAAAAGCAAAAGAGTGTCCGATCCTCGGCGTTCAGCTGCTCTCTGCAGGGCCGTGATCGTCTTAGCATCTGCCAGTATGCATTAATCAACATGACGAAAGGAAGTAATCTGACAACGTTCAGTGTGTGTGCAGGAATGTTCCCTCTGTGTGTGTGCTGAGTAGGTGTGCGCGCCAAAGAAGTGGCGTCTTAGTTACACCTGATTTAAGATTTACATCAAAGCTGTACCGCGGGCTTCTCTGCCTTACCAGAAGAAAAAAATGTTCCTTCACTCCTCTACTTCCCTTGGTAGGTTTATAATTCCTATAAACCCTAAAAAAAGAAGACATCCTGCAAACAGGGCACAGGGAAAGACTGAGCTCCTGACATATGGAAGCCATTTCCTTTCACGTGGCCTCGCTTAAAACCAGCCAGTGCCTCTTTAAGACATCGCATGTTTACACGGGGCGGTCTGTGGATTTTAAACTGTCGTCTTTTTTCACCGGATGAATACACACTTGCCAAGTGTAAATATGCCCCCAAATGATTTTGAGGTTTTGTGGAGGGGTGTGTGTTCATGTAAACATGCCTTGAATCTTTGTTTGGAACAAGGTTATATCAACACTAATAATTATTTTGGTAAAAGCTGCAGTAGAAAGACACAGTTGCGGTGAAGGTTGATGACTTCACTGAGCACAGAAGGTATCATTGTGGTGCAGCAGTTAGACCTGGTGGTATATTGACACAGCAGTCTGCTAAAACAGGAACCGGCTTTGCAAAATACTTTTAGCTCATGAAATAAAATCTAACATTTCTTGATGTGTGCTTCACAGAAGGGTACAGGAAATTAGTGGGTCTAAATCCAATTATGAATGGTCATACACCATAATCATTTCATTCACAGATGTAGGAGAGGTCTAAATAGGAAAAACATGAGAGCTAAAAACTCACAAAACTAACCATGTCTTGAGAAATAGCTAGAGAAATAGCTGAGAAGGACAACAGAAATACTTCCATCTTTATCTTTGAATTGGCAATAGAAAAATGATGTAGGTATGTAACATAGATGTGATTAATTACTTTGACTTGATACAAAAAAAATAATTAACAACCAGGTATATAGTGAAAATAATGAGCATGTAGCCTAACATTAGCTAATTTAGCCAAAAAGAATATCTTGTAAACAAAAATGCAGATGGCTGCATTGGCAGGGGTACGTTTTTGATTAGATTATTTGAGGGGGTTCACTGATCTGGAAAGTTAACATGGCAGAAGTTATTTAATATGTCATTATGTTGTAAACTGTAGAAATATAGCATTGGTTGCAAGGGTCCCTGTGATTTGTTTGTTTTCTCTGTTTTACAAAAAAGTCTATGTCTTCCATGGATGGGAACCTCCATTCTACATATTTATTGGAGGTAACACCATCACAATTGTGTACACCATAAATCCTCAAAAATATATGAAAAATAAAGGAAGAGGAAGTCCAAAACCACAGACTATGAAGACCCATCTGTCTTCACATGTTAAACCTCTAGCCACAAGAGGCTAAGCAAGGTGGGAACTGGGGTTTTGGAGGGAACTGGGATCAGTCAGGTGTCAGGTCCTCTCCTGACCCAGGCTGACAGCATCACAGAACAATCCCCCCGCCAACCTCAGCTCAATCTCACCACCTCATAGAAACCTGTGCCCCTTCCCCTCCAACCCACCCAGCCACAGAACAAGGCTGCCACCGCACTGAAAGCCTAAACCAGAGAGGAGGAAGAGAGGGGCTCCTGACAGCGGAAACAGAAGCACTTTAAAGCTCCAAACCCTTTCACTGAGATCAAAGGGCCACAGGAACAGAGCCAGCTGAGACCCAAGAAGAGAGGAAAGGGAGCTGAGACAAGGGGAGAGAGAAGACAGACGGACTGAGACACAAACACAAGAAGGTGGATATATATTCTAGGGTCCTAATATTCCAAAAGGAAAGTCTTCATTAAGTTCTGCTAGTGAACCGTATTCCAATGACTTCATTTTTCCACATTAGTAATGACAATTACAGCAGCCGTTAAAAGTCATTTTAAATTCAGATCCAACCTTCCCTCAGTCCAACCACTGGCTTTTGCATCTGCACGATTTGGCAAATAAGAAATGAACATGTTGCCACAAAAAGTGGATACATTTAGTCTGTCACCCAATACAGGAGTTGGCATTGACATATTTTTCTGTTTCTATGATTAAATAGGCTTGTGAATTTGGTTTCAATGCTATGAGCACAATCTTGCTCCGAGGTTGGCTTACTCTCTTCTACTAAAGATTTCAATCCCATGATCTTCATCAGCACATGTGGTGGAACTGATATATTGCCCTTATCGTGACCACTTTTAGGAC